TGAAATCTCGAAAATATTAGACGCGCGAAATGTTAAAATCCTGAATTCTAAATCGCGCGTAAATCTTTATAAAACGTACACTTTGCGTCCTATTACGCAAGCATTAGAGAGATGTTTCAACGTTAAAGATGTTTACGTGACTACGCGGATATGTTCTCCTTGATGATATTAGGATAAGATTAACACGTGGTGTGTTTCGATCACGTACCGCGTCTGAACATCTGTACTGTAGAACAGATCTAAACTAGAACACGATACAGTTGCACAGAACACGATTGTGTAACCCCGTAAGCAGGATTGCGGTCACTCACAATCCTTTGCCACGTTACAAATTAATGAAATTTTTGAATTTGCAATAAACTATCTAGCTCGTAATCTGTGAACATATCAGCCGCAGATTTTTTACGGTTTTAAATTGTCGTTTTAATCTTCGCTTGTATTATCGAACTTTTTGTCGAAAATACGCTGCGATCATCGCATTTCGTAAAACTCATTGCAATAAAATTTTTTCAGAAATTTAACTTTGACGTCGTTCTACTTCCTAATTAAATCAAACCATAAATAATTACGATTCCAAGGTCTGTCTTAAAATTAAATTAAAACTAAATCAAAACACTTAAGATAATTACCGAAGTCCTAAATAAGTTTAAATTTGATATCAAGGTTATTGCTCAGTTTCCCGACCGCGCGCGAACGTGACTCTCTATCGTGGTTTCCTGACCGACGTGCAGACAAGTATCCGTTGACATTGCAGCTCCATCGGCGTAGAATCGCATAACGGCTCGTGTACATCACCCGAACGTTGAAACGTAACTAATTAATGTCTCTGAAACAGTATCACTCTCAACATGCGTGCGATCCGCAGATGGAAGATGACATAAACGTGCGGAGTCGGCTGCAGTCTCTGACAAGGAAATTTGCGCTGAAATAGTAATATCGTTGTTCGTTAGAAGACCCCCCAAACCTGACAATCTCATCATCGTATTTTGCGCGATCGTACATACATACGTCTAATGAATACGTCATTATCAATGATACATATATATATATATATATATGTGTGTGTGTGTGTGTCTTTACGCAGTAAATCTTCACGAATTTGGTTCTTCTTCGCGAGATAGACAAGACTGTTGCAATAGGAAAAAAAAAAACAAAAAGACAAGCCGATTTTCACACAGCGTGAATTTTCTTTCGACCGCGCGCGTTGTAACGGTGGGAAAAGAATGAAGTGCGCAAAGAAGAGTGAAAGCTTCTTATCTTCTGACGGGACCGAATATAATCAAGTTTTTATACCTACTGTTACACACTCAGTATTTTTTTTTTTTTTTTTTTTTAGATAAAACAAGTAGTGCGAGTTATTTCTCTTTTTCATACTTCAAAGTTTTTGTCATAATACTTTTTGTCATACTTTTTGTAAATTACTGATATAACTTTTTAATCACAGTTTCGCTATTAGTCGCGCACACACGTTGTTTTACACAAACATAGTGATAAAGACAACTTGCGACGTAAACTAACAAGCAAACTGTTGTTAGGTAACGAGAAATGAAGTGTCATCAAAGGGAGAGAGGAAGTACTTTACTTGGAAGCAAGAACAGTGACGGAACATAAATAAGTACGTATATAGACGCGCAGGGTATACACACGTATGGAAAAGAGCATACGATCGCAGCAGCGAAGTGAAAGGCGGCGGGTCGGGGTATAGAATGAGGTATAGGTAGGTTAACAACGTGATCACGGTTCAAGCACTCCCATAGGATCGCCACATCAGCTAGTCGGCTCACCCTTTCTCACCACCGTTATCCAACCTCTTCACCATCCGGTATTTTGCTTCCCTTTCTCCCATCTCCCGCGATTTTTCGCTTTCATATGTAGGTTCTCTCTTCTCTCTCTCCCTCTCTCTCCTCTCTCTCTCTCTCTCTCTCTCTCTCTCTCTTCTCTCTCTCTCTCTCTCTCGCGGTCTGTCAAGATACCTTCGTGATCGTTTTCATCGATGCATGCGCGATGCTTATATGCACGTGCGAACCTGCCATGTGCAGGGATCGCCAGTTGTCGATTAACGATCCCGATAGTATACAGCGAAACATTTCGCCGTATCCGAAAACGCGCGCACGTTGGAAAAATGACAAGCCTCCATCGACTTCGCAATTCGTGTTTTTCAATATTTTCTCCCTTTTTTTTTCCTTTTATTGCGCCGTTTCGCGCGTCACATGAAACATCACTATTTTTGCCATGACTTTCGCATATGCCAAAGCAATAACGGTCACCCCGAGGGACGGATGGTGATCTGGTCGTTCGCATTAATATATATGTAGGTATATATATATATAAATACATAAATATATATATACATATATGTGTGTGTATTTGTTGCGCGGGAAGAGCATAAAAATATATTTAATAAATAATAAAATTCTCTTACACAACACACACACACACGCTTGCTTGAGAGAGAATTTCAAAAAGATTGCTTCGTAATTCTTTTCGCTTGAAATACATCGTTCGTGGTGTGTTGACATTACGAGCCAGTTGTGTATTAGAGATCTTATTATACAGCAACGCGACTCTGTTGTGCATCAACATTGTTGATTATTATTTCTGGAAACCTCGCTGTATAAACAACCTATCCGCTTTGACGTAAACATTGTGTTACGCATCCATTTACACAATGTAATATATTATTACGCTCTTGCTATTTTTTCAAGTTTATTCTGTACGTTCGCGTGTATCTACGTCGCAAGTAAAATATAATGTTAATATCCGACATTACTAACATAACACATATGTGTTTACAATTTACTTGCATAATACATGTTAACAATATATATATATATATATATATATATATATAGTAGCATTATACATGATTTATTCGATATTATGCGTAAACATAATGAGTAATAGCGCCCTGATTTTCGTCATAGGTGTAAACACCATTAGCTTGCGAAAGTCCATCCATAATGAAACTTCTCGATTGGTTAAACCGTGGCAAAGTTTGTTGGCGCACGTTAATTGACCTCATCATTACTACCTCCGGGCGTTAAGAACTATTTCATAGCGGGCGGCGCGCGGCGCGCTTTTGCCACAGCGGCCGGTGATCTGAAAATACGAGCGGGATTTTCTCATCGGTATTCCGAAAGTACCTGCCGTCCGATCTTGCGAATGCAATTTCATTAGTCTAATGGATTTCGATGCTCGAGACTAGTAATCCGCCATTTTTTGCGAGACACGGCACGGAAAATTGGATAATTCATGGGGTTTGAAGTAATGAAAGAAAATTTAACACGAGAGCGCGCGTCGAAAGGTGTGTGCGCGATCGGATAATCTTAAAAATCGCATTGTTGAGCAAAAAAAAAAAAATACAAAAGAAAGAGGAAAAAGAAAGCATTGCGAACGACGGAAACAACGGCGGAATCCGAACAATTCAGGAACAACGCTATTACTCTATCACAATAGACTCGCCGATTACGAGTTTTCTCTTCCGGTACGGCGTCTTAAACGAACGAACGAACTTCGGCGAATCTCGATGGAGGACTTTTTGACTTTTTTTTTACTTTTCACTTAATAGAGAATATTGGAACCGTCGAGGAGTCTCTTTTCCTTTCTCTCTTTTCTTCTTTTTTCTCAAAATATTTGTACTGTGTACGATAGATGCATAGAATGATTAAACAATGAATGTAAAATTTTGTGTAATTCGAATGTACATTTGTAATTGCTTTATTATTTTACCTTTTATTCGTTATTTCGTGTAGTACAAATAAAAAAAAAGGATTGTAAAGAAATTTTCACACAGTGAGACTTTAAATACGTACACGCATTTCTGCTTTTTATTTACGCTTTTATTGTTTAATTTAATTTGAGAAAAACGTTAAAAAAGTGTGACTCTTTTAATAATGCGCTTGTGAATGTTCATACACATAACAGAAAATAAATTGTACATACTTCGTGACGTATTCTTACATAAAATTCTATTATTTGTGATTTTATAGTTTGAAGATATTAGCAGGTGTGTAGCGCCTGGGGCCCATATTCTTCGTTCTAAAGAATTTGCCATCTATTCCGACAGCATCGAAACGTCATTCTGTAAAAATGCATTGTTGATATTTTTATTTATGCGACTCAATTTGGGGATTTAATTGCGTTGCGGTGACGCTAACATCAGTTGCAATCGCATTTTACATATTTTATTCCCTTTCGTTAATTAAGCCAGCGAGCGTGAATAAAACGAATCTGAAATGTAGATTTTGGCCGCGTCTGCTGTTATAACACGCGCCAAGAGGAATAATTTACTTTTTCAACAGCGCTTCGTGTATGTCGTGTCCAAGCAAGGTATATAGCCTTTTCATACGGAACTTCATACGCTCGTAAACTGTGGATGCACATGGCTGTCGGTTAATTTAGCACAGATTCGTGATGTGATGCTGCGTGAGCGCGCGTTGAGTGTCTGCGGTCGTTCTCGCGCGCAAGCTCGCGATCGTTTTCACGTGTGTTATATCGGCATTTGAATTTTTAGTGCCGTTTCAGCCGTTCGCGGAGACTAAACTCCTGGGATTTTGCTTAAGGAATAATCGCGATACTTGCCGCGTTGGCAAGTTTCTCGGCATCGCCGAGTTATTCAACAAAAAACTCGATTGACATCATTGAAAAAGTTTAAAAATGAAAAAAATTGATCATTCTATGCTCAATTGATTGATGATCACACAAAAGATATTATAACGCGATGCAAAACAAGCAAAGTGAAACAAAGTTTCTTCTTAGAAACACTTTTTCTCTTTTAAGATTTTTGTTTTTTTTTTTTTTTTTGTTTTTGATTTAGTTGTGAGTAATTGTCTTTAGAAGTAAGTAGACCTTGTTTCGGGAAACAATATATTTTTGCGATAACGGAGTGTATCGTAATACTTGGAATTACGTGAGAAATCTACGACGAACAAGCAAGTACTTCGCACTGATCGATCCTGCGTGTCCTGCTTAAGTGGAGGACGTCGTTTTGGTGAAACCACATGGAGGGTGATCAAACCCAACAGAGACTAACGGAAGGAAAGTCCTCTACAATACATGGTACGACACATACATTATGTACTAGAGCTTGCGATCGTAGAATAAATCGCTTAATCTTTTTTCTCTTAACTTTTCTTTAAAAAAGAATTCTCTGTTTGTTTTATATTTGTGAAATTAATTTCGCGTTATTAACACACTCTCATTGTTAATATTGAGAAAAAGTATCGAGAAACACATACACGTTTTGTGTGTGTGTGTGTGTATATGCGCGCGTTAAACATTTTCTTTTCCCGAGGAGTTTGAAATTTTCTCGCGCAAAAAAGAGCGGAACCAACGAAAAAAAAATCTGACAGAACGGAACTTTGCAATGAAATTAATGAGAGAGGGTATGGACGGAAAGGGACAAATTACTTTTCTGGCAGACGTTCCATTTCACGCACAATTTAACCGTGCGATCTCCGTAAAAGGCGTTTGCATGATTGCTCGGCTTGCAATATAGTTGAAAAGAAAACGATCAACGGTAGAGGAAACAGGATCAGGCCGAGCGCGCATCGCGTGCCGCTTTTACCTAATCACTTTCGTGATGACTCGATTAATCTTACTCGCTGACAAAATCAAAGCTGCTCCGCTTCGAGAATATTTAAACATATAACAAATTGCATTTCAGAATAGAGTTAAATAAATATTAACCGCTCGCAGTTCTGTCATTATTTGTTGTCGCGTAGGTGCGTTTATTTATTTCTTCATATTTATTGATTTATTATTCTGATCATTTTAAATAATATGCAAATTGCAGGAATTATGAATGTTAATCATCGCATAATAACGAATGCGGGCGTCGAAAAAGTTGGTTTAATAACGAGGCTCGTCGAGTTTCTTGCCACGATAGGCTCGCTTCTTTTGGTGATGATTACACTTCCATTCTCCCTTTGCTGTTTGTTCAAAGTCGTGCACGAGTACGAGAGGGCCGTTGTTTTTAGAATGGGTCGCTTGAAAGGCGGAGCTCGCGGCCCAGGTACAAACTTTTAATTTGAGCAGATCGTTTAAATGCTCGAAGATATTTCTTTTTCTCACTTTTACTGTTGTATTTGTTTTTTTAATGTATTGTGTTTTGAAAAAAAAAGAGAGAGGCAAGAATTTTTTAATTAAAAATTAAATTTGTGTTATTCTTTTGGTGTAGGAACTTTTATCGTCGTGCCGTGCATTGATTATTGTGTGCGAGTAGATCTGAGAACGGTGTCCTTTGACGTACCGCCGCAGGAAGTGCTTACCAAAGACTCCGTCACTGTGAGCGTCGACGCAGTCATCTATTATCGTATAAAGGAGCCTCTAAATGCCGTCATCAAAATTGCAAACTATAGGTATATGCGCAAAAAATTAATAGGATAAAAGGTGACAAAAAAATCGAAAATAATTATAAACATATATTAGATACATATCGAAAATAGCGGGAATAAAATTTCTACATTTTTTTTCACTCAAACAGAAACAATTTATATATTATTCAATTACTACGCGTTAACGCTACTATTTTGTGTTTTTCACCGACAGAATGTTTTTTTCTCTCTTTTTTACTTTGTTCTGACAGTTTTACCTAACCTAACGCGAGTTTATTTCCGCGGACAGATGAAAGCGTTTCGTACAATTTTTCTTTTAGTTGCACGTCGCGTCTCCTTTCGTGTAGCTGGCATTTAAATACTTGATTGCGCACACCTTTTTCCCCGACTCGCCTTCCACGCTCGGCGTCCGCTGTAATCTCTGTCTTTATTTTTGGTCATTGCGAGAATCAGAGACGGGACATGCGCACACAGCCGTATAATGAAAATAAGCTAATTGTGCATATTAAAAGCTTTCTGGATGCGGCAAGCCATGCGGCAACGGGGCCTTGAGCTACTTACCACGTTCACCGCACTAAAAGCACTTTTTACTTTATTTTCATAGAAATGCGTTCTGATTAGGCTACTAAAGTATCAAATGGAATATATACACATCGTCACTCCCTACGTATAATTACATAAGTGTCACATACGGGATTTTCAGTTTATTGCATAGTGACACTTAGAAAGTCATGTTTTTTATGGTCACCAAATATTAAAAAACAAATATTCATAAGTAAGGTAAAAATTTAAAACCGAAAGATCCCTTAACTAGAGAAACTATATGAAACTGTAAACTTTTAAACTGCTCTCTTCTAAAATTTGCGTTTTGAAGTTACGGGATTATACGTAGAGAGTGACGATATAATAGTAGAAATATTATTAATAAATAAACACACAATATGTTATAAAATAGAAAAATATTGCTTTACTAATTTTTAGGATTTGAATTTGATTTATTGTAATTATTTTCTTCAACAATACAACGTTTGCTGATAAACCCCGCAACGAATACGTCAACGTGCGTGAATCGAGCGCAATGTTCACGTATCGTTATCGTATCACTGCCCTGGTGAAATGCTTTCAGAGTTTCACGTTGAAAGGATCACACACGTATAGTTTCGGTTCTTCCAATCCGTTAAAAATTACGAGTAGTGGTCGACAGCGTGTCCGGCTGCGTTCCGTAGGGGTTTAACAGCGGCTACCACCGGCCCGTTCACGGTTTGCCGCCCTCGTCGACGGCCACTCACGGCCCACAGTCACTTCTTTCGCTTACTTTTCCAGCCATTCGACACGATTACTGGCCGCTAGTACGCTACGAACGGTTCTCGGCACGAGGAGTCTAGCCGAGATCCTGTCCGAGCGGGAAACCATATCCCATACCATGCAGACCGCTTTGGATGAGGCAACGGATCCTTGGGGAGTCAAAGTAGAGCGAGTTGAAATGTAAATATATAATTTTATCTCAATATTTTAATGTGTTACGGAAGAGCCGTGTGTGCACGCGACATGTTATTTTCTCTCGTTGTACCTCTGCTGACTTTCATTTGCGTAATTAATTGTTTATTACTCAAAACGACAGAGGAAAGTCGAGAGAGACTGTCGTTTTACTAATTAATTTTTAGTAAGTTTATTATAATCTATACAGTCACAAAGAATACATATTTTGAAATTAACATAATTTATTTTTTTTGTTTTTAATTCGTATTTTGAAGCAGGTACGTCAGAAATCTTCCATGACAGGTCAGTGTTCTATTTTTATTTGTATGTGAAAAAATTATATTGCAAATAAATCAATCAATGTAAACCTGAAATCGCTTAATCAGCAAATAATGCGGACGTCGCGCAGCTGCGCAACGGTGATCCGATAAAAATAATGTGCTACCGAAAATGTATTTCGTTTGGTGGAAAAAAAAAAAAAAAGAGAAGAACGCGCGCGCGAACGCGATTTAAAATTTAAATGTCCGCCGAATCCGCGTTCGCGTAAAACAAGTCGACGGTCGTTTATTTGCTTGCCGCGCAAACGATAAAATTTCACAGGCGAACAGAACGAATCGATACGCTTATATTTATACCGAGAAAGAGTTATCAAGGCGTAATTAGATTACAGCTGCATATTACACATCGCGCGCGGCGACATGGCAATATTACAGTTTCGATATTACACATATTCCACTTTGCGCTCGTACATCATGATAGTCCTATTACAGACACTCATTGCTACACTGTGCTCATTTTCGCACTTATTGGTGAATGATTATGATTCTAAATGTAAATTGAAAAATGTATTGTGGTTTTGTAAACTATATATATATATATATAATATTTTTAAAGATATTATTATTATTTTCAAAACAATATCATAATGCATAAAATATTCTTTAAAATGAAATTGTAAAGCGTGCAAAAAATTAAACATTAATGAATTGAATTTATATATATTATGAAAATATGCACAACACAGTAGGTGTAAAATAAAAAATTAAATTATTATTTTAAATTATTTCAACTCTCATAGAATTAATATAAAATATAAATGAAGATTCTTTAATTATAACATTTATCGTAAAAGTTTGTGAGTGTATATGTGTGTGTGTGGATTTTACCGGCTACAGTTTCAACACCGTTTGCGATCGGACTCACATTTTCGCTCATGAGTTTCTCGATCTCCGCAACTTCCCAAAACGGATATCTAATGGACGCTTTTGCTTTAGAAAGGACGTCCGACTTCCGGTGCAGCTTCAGCGAGCCATGGCCACGGAGGCGGAAGCCGCGAGAGAGGCGAGAGCCAAAGTGATTGCAGCGGAAGGAGAGATGCGAGCTTCTCATTCCCTGAAAGAGGCTAGCGATGTCATTTCCACGAGTCCCGCTGCTCTGCAGGTAACATTCACATGTTCGTATTTTGTTCTCAGAAAATCAACATTAATTTCAAGTAGTAGTACTGGTACTATTATTTAATCTATAATATTTTTAAAAAATGTAATTAAAATTTTTTTAATATTATGTATATTTAAAATACAGTTATGTTATAACAAGTGTTTGATGTTATAAAAAAACAATTTTGTATGTACATTATAAAATTACCAAAATACATACATTTCGAAAATAAAAACACGAAATAAATTGAATGAAAAGATCGGCAAATGTTAATTAACGCACGTTACAGTTTTCCATATATTTCGCAGAAGTATGTTCATTAAAAATCATTGTGAAAAAGTTTGTGTAAAAAATAATGAAAGCAATGCTTTGTTTGGCTTTGGTTTTTATGAATATTACAATAGACGTAAGCAAGTAGCGCAAATTAATTCTACAAAAATTCTCGACCGCGAATCAGATATCATAATTCTCTTGTGCCAACAGCTGCGATACCTGCAAACGCTGAATAATATATGCGGCGAGAAGAATTCAACAGTAATATTACCATTGCCAATTGAATTTCTAACTCCTTTACTCACCCCAACTTTGCGGACTTATCAGCAAACTGCGACGGAATCTTTACTCAAAGCGGAAGATAAATAATAAAAATTATACATGTATACTTTGTGTGTTTATATTATAATAATACAATATGAGAGATAAATTGCACGTAATGACAATATTATTTTTAAACATATTATAAGTAATGTAATGTACAGACGCACAATAAAACATTTGTAGCGCAACAAAGAGAATGTTTTTATTATTGAAACAATCTCTCTTTTATCTCTTATAAAACAAAATACAATATTTAGAAATACATATGTAAAAGTATACACAAAGCCAAAAAAAAATATGTGAAATAAAATTGGAAACCGGTTAAATGACTACGACGTAACGGCTTATACGCGAATTCTGCCAATACACGGTTATTTTTCCTGCGCAAATAGCTTTTCCTCCCATTTGCATTTGACGATTTACCAACTAAGGTAAAATTAATTTACGCAACCCCCGATCCAATTCGTCGGAGATGGAGATTCGATAAACACGTATTCCGATAAGATCGCTTTCAAAGCATGCCTTCGTTTAACCAAACCCACTGACCCGGCTCGTGCAAACGGTCCCCCGCCAGATATCGTACATGTATTTTCCTACATAGGGAAATGGAGCGGCTGGCCGACTGGCCGACGGGAGTTTACGATCACCGCCATCGTGATTTGCATACGATCCGTCTACCACTTGATCCGTCTACTAACACGGCTTTCTCTCTCCTTCTCTCTCTCTCTCTCTCTCTCTCTCTCTCTCTCTCTCTCTCTCTCTTTGTCCAGTGTTACTAAATATCGTGGTATTCGCTTAAACTCTATTCGTCGGTCACTGTTTTATTATCTCCTGTTCACCATCGAACTGGTTCGAACGCATTGCGGTTTTTATGCTCGGTTACACAGTCGCACGATTGTTCGGTATTTCCGAGCATTTGTACGATATTTTCGGCAAACACATATAACAGTATATACATATATAAAATATAAAACAAGACACACACGAGGTAATTTTAAAATGTATAAATTGCATCATGCATTTATACTCATATTTATAAATAAATTTACTAACATACGTGCGTTATTACGTACGTTTTCAACAATTGCAATAAAGTTGAGTCATGTAAATTTGATAATTAATAACATCGAAGCGCGGAAATTCCAGTATACAAGGTATACATCAAAGACAAATCGTCTCTCTGGTTTGCCAAGAGCTAGGAATGCAATATATCATTTAACTTGTACATAGAATATCAAAGGGTAAATGCATTATATAGTTGGAATTTTATTATCTTATTTTAGTCTCTGAATATTTGTATGTGTGTGTGTGTGTGTTTGTGTGTGAGAAACATAGTGGTTTTTATTCGCTCGAGTGCATCAAGTTTTTCAAAATTGCCATTTGTAAATGCGATTTAAAAACGCGACGTTTATTTCTCGGAAGAAAACCACTGCACAATGTCGAAATTCGAAGTTTTAAAGTTACATAGCGACGTACATATATAAAATTCGAACTATGTGTGTGACGGCTCACACAAAATCAATGATGATGTGCCAGTGAATCTTTTTGTGTCGCTCAGTGCAAGGGAAAGCTCTCAGCGTGAGCGCGGTTTTGTTCGACGTGCATTCGATTACGCTCGTTAAAGAAAATACCATTATTCGCCAAACGCGGGAAATTCGATTACAAGAAGCGGAGAATGTAAATTAATAGTCTTCGTTTTTTTTTTTTTTTTTTTTTTTTTTCTACGTATTACGAGATATTGTCCTACGTGCAATTCAGACGTATTGATTTCCAAGCGTGCGATTATTAACTATATATGAAAATAAAATGTAATCTTTATCGGATGAGGTTAAATATCGAATAAAGATGAAACTGTAACTTTTAGTCTGTTT